GGTGACTGATTTACACCCGCGCCCAGGGTCGCGCTCGCTCCCTGCGGCCCGGCCCGGCGCTTCCCCTCGCTCCTCCTCGGGCCAAAAAAAAAAAAAGGAACGGACTGTCCCGGGAGGGGGGGGTGGGGGGTGCTGCTCAAGGAGAGCCGGGGAGGCCGTGCCAACCCCACAAGTTTCTCTTGCAGCCCCTCTCTTCCAGTCTGTCCCGCCGGCCAGGCTGCGTCCCCGGCGCGGCGTCGGCGGAGCCCGCGTGGGGGTTGTGGCTGTTGTTTGTCCCCGGCTTTCCGGGGGCTCGGAGGGCTGGGGAGGGGATGTGTGTTTCACCACTCTCCCCCACCGACACAGCCTGTTAGTTTAGGGGCTGGCTGTTTGTTTTATTTCTTTCTCTCGCCCTCCTTTCTGTGTGTCCGTGTGGCTCTTTCCGGGGCTAGAAAAACAACTTTGGAGCCCCCCGGGGAGCCCCGCGCGGGCGTGGAGGTGGAGGTGGCCGTTCGGCGCCCAGCTGTCAAGGAAAGAAAGAAAGAAAAAGTGGGGGTGTAGGAAGGGAGGGAGGGAGGACGTGGAGGCGAGGGCTGCGGAGCGCCGGGGAAAGGGCGCGAACTTTATTCCGACTCCCGCAAGCCGCCCGCGGTGGCGCTTTCCTTCCCGGGCACTCGCCGCCGGTCCTCGTCGCCTGCGACCGGTTCCTCGCACCGCGCCGCGCCCTCTCCGCCGGGTCCCCGGCTCCTCCGCGCGTCCCCGCCGCCCGCCGTCTGCGCCCCCTCTCAGCCCGGGTCCCCGCGTGCCGCTAGGGAGGCGCGGAGAGCAGACCCAGGGGACAGAAGCTCGGGACAGCGTGCTGGGAGAAGAGGCCAAAAGTTGCGCACAGCTGGGGGAGGTGGTGTGGGGGGAATTAAAAGAAAGTTTCTGGTGTTGGCGAGATTTGTGCCGGGCCAGACGCCGGCTTGCGGCGAGAGCTTCCTTCCCCTTCCTCCCCCCCCCCCCCACCGCCCCGGACGTTCCCCCCAAGCCTCCCCCCCCCCCCCTCCCCGGGTCTGGGCCGCGGGCCTTGGGTTGGAGCTGGGCAGGGGAGAGGAAGGAGGAGGCCGCCTCTGGTGGGGAAGACCGGTCACATCTGTGGGTGACACTCAGCCGACCCGAGTCGCCCTGCCCGGGCTCTGCTCTGTGCGCACACACGCCTGCAGCTGAAGGACATTTCCTACACGCAGGCGAAACCCACTCCTGGGCTGCGAGATTGGGGGTGCAGGGGAGAGCTGAATCTTTATCATCTTCTTAATACACACCGCATGCCAAAAACATCTCTGCGTGGTGCAGATTTATCATAGCTAGAGCAAACTTTTCTGCTCATCTGATTTAGGGAGGAAAGCACAGGTTTCAAGCATACTCCCTAAGCACTAAGAAATCAAGAGAATCGCGAAGATTTGCTTGGCCCCAACAACAGGTTTGATTACTCCTTCTTACTGAAGAGACAAAATCATCCTTCCTTTCTCTCTTCCCCAAGTAGAGGGAGAGAGAGTCTGCAGAATTGCATTCAGAGATCACAATTAGATTCTTTTGAAAATAGGTAGGCTTGGAATTACGGTATTTTCTTTGATGCAGTCTGTTCTGAAGTTTACTGTAATTTTTCACAATAATGAATTCTTTAAGAAAGAAAAAAAACTTTCGGAAGCCATTCCTGACAAGGTCCCAAAGTAACCACAGCTGGCCTGAAAATGTGATTAAGCTTCTTCACATGGATCCAGCCTTAAAAAAAAAAAATGCGGGGGTGGGGGCACTACACCTGGAGTTGTGGGTACTCAACTCCAAATATTTGATTGTTTCCATTCTTGTACTCTTTCAAAAACAAGGTTCAAGCCACTTCTGTATTTGTGGATTCTATGCATCAATTTATTGTGGAACAACTTGTCTAGTAAACATTTCTCCCATATTATAGTAAATACCTTAGAGTTTTAGGCACATGGTTCATCTCCCAAGTTTCCCGTGGAAGACAAGATTACTTCTCTCATGGTGGCATAAAATATAGAGTAGTATCTAACCACCACTATCCGCATCTTCTTAAATGCATGTTATCTAAGAAGACTCATCTTTAGATGATTTGATTAAGGTGTGGAGCATGTTCCCTTATTCTCTAAACATAACTGTAACATCATCCTGCAGTTTGTAGAAATTGATTACACAAGGGATAATGATGACCAAATGTGCATTCTGAGCAACTGAGAAGCATCCCAAGAATTGTCCAGAAACAAGCCAAATTTTGGTGTGTTTTCCTGTGTCATAGAAAGATGACAAAAGGTAGTTGCTAATTTCAGAGTCATTACCATATGAATTCATTCACACACTACTTTGGACAAGTGACAGACCAGCAGCTGCCAAACAATTTTATTCACACAGTGCAAATTTGGCTGTACACCTACCCTGGCCAACATGTAGAAGTTAACTCTCTATCAAGCAACCTGCAATTTACATTCCCCTGATTGGTTCCAGAGCTGTCTGTTTTTGATGTTAACATACAAACAATTTATGTGTGGCAAGATGTGTCCATTTGAGGTCCCTCTGCCTTTCTAGACAATCATTAGCAAGATGGAGAATGTGTTGGGTTTAAAAGCAGACCTTAGAAAAGGTGGTAGAATTTACAGGGGGGGGGGGAAGCAAAGAGAATTTCAGTCTCTTACTTCCTCCAGTGGGCTTATATGGCAATTGGAATAAAGGCTTAAGTCCTTTTTGTGCTCAGCAAGACCTTAATGATCTATATATACCGGCCTCACTCTTTCAACTCTCCTATTCCAATTTGTTCATTTCCCTGGTGGACCACAGTCAAGCCACATTGACTTTCCTTTTGTTCCTCTAACTTGTCACCCTCATTTCTACTCTTTGCTACTACTCTTCCCTTTGCTTGAAATGTTCTCTCATGTTTTCTTTATTATTCATATATCAGCTCTAATTTCACTTCAGCAGACTCAAGTAGCTTTTTACCCACCATCCAGAATACTCATCACTTTCTCCCATTACATATTTTCGTATCCCTTATAATTATGTGCATTTTTTTACTTTATATATGTATTATTTTTCTTCAACTAAAATGTAAGCTCTACCAGGGCAAGGACTGGATCTAACTTGTTCAGCCTGTGTAGCGCCAAGTATAATATTGTAAATATTGCTTGACTTAATGAAGAAATGTCAAAAGATGGTACATTACATTGATCTGATAACCATATCACCAGGCAAGTTTGCTCTAGAACTGTAAGGAGAGAAAAAAAGAGTCTGTTCTTTTGTAGGATATGATAAACCAGTGATCCTCAAAGTGTGGGATGGGGATTTCAGGAATCGCCGGAGCCATTTTAAGAAGTCTGGGAAGTCAAAAGTCTTTTTTGTTGCGATAACAAGAAGCTATTTGCTTTTACTCACTCTTTTCTTTCATCTGTTTATAGCTGCTTTCAAAGAAAATGTGATATGTGATTATCACAACAGTCTTAATGTTAGAGACAAGATGATCCACCTCTCTTTTCCTCCATCAGAATTTAAGAGCAGTGCCACAAAATTGTAAGTCTTTGCCTCTATTCTCACTATTTTTTCTTTTGTTTTGGAAAACAATTACTGTTAGTTTGAAAATGTGTGTTGCTTGTTTCTCTTTGCTTCTGTGGCACATTACTACAAACTCAGAGCTAGAAGCTAGTGGCTCAAGCTGCACTCTGGTGGCTCATATTTGGAATCCTGGAGGCTAAGACTTGGAGTTTCTTAGCTCAAAACTTAGCCCACACAGAAAAACCCAGAAAACTCCATCTCCAGTTAACCAATAAAAATACCAGGTAGCGTGCAAACCAGTACCAACACACACACACACACACACACATACACACCTGTAGATTAAATCACAAAATTTTATAATTCTACTTTTAATGAGGTCTGAAATCAGAAACAGGCTTCACTAAGCTCAACTCAAAGTTATTTTTAGGCTTTTGTTCCTTTCTGTATCCTTGAAGAAAATTTAATTTCTTCAGGCCACTATTTGACTCATCACCCCTTTACATCTTTGAACCTGCACTAGCCAGACACATCTTCCTCAAACTTCATCACTGTGATACTCATCTATCTGCTCCTGTCTTTGCATTATAACTGCCCTTGTAATTATATTGGTCCTCTCTAGATAATCTAGCCACCTCACCAACCTTAATTTAAGAATTAGCATGTGGACTATTATTAGTAGGGGCTATTATTCTCTCAACCACAGAATATTAACAACTAGTGAGTTTAGTGTTATTTTAAATGGATTCTTAACTTTTTATTTCAGAATTTAATTTCTAATAAATATTAATATCTATTGCCCATAAAAATCTCTTTATTGTCTTCAAAAATTTTGTTCAAGAAGTTTAAAAACAAGGACCATCTTAAGGTATCATCAAATCAAAGAGTTTGTGGATGGCTGGCCTACACAAGAGCTACTCTCCCGTCACCCATGCTGCTGGTTATGGTAGCCATTTTCACTTTTGCTGTGATTGGCTTAAGGATGAGCATGTTACTTGACTTTAGAAAATGAAGGATGAGAGGAAGTCATTGAAGAGACTTCTGGGAAAGATTATTTTACTCATTAAAATTAACAGTGATCAAGATGCAGTGTACTAATAAACAGAGGTTGAAATGAAACCCTTTTCTACAACTATTTCAAGATAATGAAAAATAATTACACATAAAGGTTTGACAATAAATAAACAGTCCCTTCTTTGTTCTAGATATTAACATACAGTGATGTGGTTCCAGAAACAGGTACATTTGTCTTGCAACCAAAGGGAGCCCGTACACTAGGGATAATGGTGTGGGAAAGTAGAAAACACCTGAGCAACATTTGTTTATTTACTTATTCATTCTTTTTTTTTTTTATGCTGGCTTGAACTCAGGGCCTTGTGTATGCTCCTACATCTGGGCTTTTTCCTCAGTCCTGAACCTGAGCACATGGTCGTTACTGACTTAATGAATTACATTCTAGTCTGCTAAAAAATTTCTTTTGCATAATATGATTAATCTCTGTGTGTTGAACTTGCATTTTTATTACTTGCTGCTTAAAGCTTCCTAAATATTAGAAATTGGGAAAATGCTGTGTGTTTAGTTTCCATGTAGGTATTCACTTTTGTCATTTCCCATGAAATTTAGTTTAGTTTATTGCAAAGTTTTAAGAAAAAATCTGTTCAGATCAGTAAATAAACTGATTAGGCACCAATGAATCACACCTGTAATTCTAAGCTACTCAGAAAGTTCATAGCTGCGTGTTGGTGGCTCACATCTGTCATCCTAGCTACTCAGGAGGCTGAGATCTGAGGATCTCAGTTCAAAGACAGCCTGGGCAGGAAAGTCTGTGAAACTCTTATCTACAATAAACCACCAGAAAACGGAAGTGGCGCTGTGGCTCAAGTGGTAGAGTGCTAGCCTTAAACTGAAGAGCTGAGGGACAGTGCCCAGGCCCAGAGTTCAAGCCCTATGTCTAACAAAACAAAAAACAAAAAAAAAAAAAATTCAGAGGACCCAGTTAAAAGCCAGCCTCTGAAGAAAAGTCTGTGAGATTCCATCTCCAAAATAATGAGCAAAATGCTAGGCTAGAGAGTTTGCTCAAGTGGTAGAGCACCAAACTATGTACAATCAAGCCAAGAGAGAAAGAGGGAGGCCCTGTGTTCAAGCTTCAGTACAGGAAGAAACAAAAGAAGGAAGGAATCAACCAACCAACCAACCAACCGAGGAAATCATTGTAATTCTCCTATGTGAATGAAAACTTATCAACTTGGAGACATTACTCGTTAGAATGACCTTAGTACTGACCCAGGGAATCTTAAAATTGAAAGGGTGACATTTCCAAAGTATATCATCTGACCAGTTAATTTTGTTTGTATTTGTAGCCACATTATAAATTTGTGTTTCTGTCCCTGTTTACTGCTATTGGTGAGTCAGTTCTGCAGAATAATTAAATGTAAGTTTATTTGCACAATATATTCCTTAGAAATTGTGTTTGGAAACCCAAAAAGTGACAGTTTCAAACATAAGATTTTGTGTAGTGCTGTTAACTTTATAGAATATCTGAATGTTCATTATTATTCATATACTACTCACTATATTTACTAAGGCTGTTTTTTTAATACAAAGAAAAGGAAACATAAATGTTATAAGGAAAATCTGAGTTAAAAGTGTAATTCATTTTAAGTGTCAAATCCAAACTCAGGGCAGACAGTATTTTCATTATTAAAAAAGAAGACTAAGCCAGGCACCAGTGGCTCACACCTGTAATCCTAGCTACTCAGAAGGCTGAGATCTGAGGATCAAGGTGCAAAGCCAGCGGGATCAAGGAAGTCCACGAGAGTCTTATCACCAATAAACCACTGGAAGTGGTGTTGTGGCTGAAGTGGTAGACAATGCTATCCTTGAGCTGAAGAGCTGAGGGACAGTGCCCAGGCCTAGAATTCAAGCCCCAGGACCGACAAAAAAAAAAAAAAGAAGACTAATTTATATGGAACAACACACATACCAATGCTCAACTTTAAAGTGGTTTCAGATTCACTCTCAACAATTCAGCCAAAGTCAACACAAAATGCAAAACAAAAATTTTACATGTGCGGCCTTTATTAGAAATCAAGGTGAAAGTTGGGTGTGACGGCATCAGCTTAAAATCCCGGCAATGGAGATGCTGAGACCAGACTAGCCTGGTCTATATGATGAGATCCTGTCTCAATAAAATAAAATAATAAAATGCCGATTACTGTTTTCTAAACTTCCACTGTCTCTGTAAAACAGACATATAAACAAAGAAAGAGACTTAAGTGTAATAGTTAATGGGAACAAACTTTAGTTCTTGGGTATGAAATACTTCCATATGAAAAACAGATTTCTATAGGAATTAAAGTCCCCTCATCACAGTTCTAAAGTTATTCATGATGATGATAAATTTTGATTTCAATTATACTTACATATATATATATATATATTAGGCTTCTTTTACTTTGCTTTATTTCAGTTGCTGGGTATTGTGATGTACTAACTTACTTCTAAGTCATAGAGTTGTGTCCAGTCATCAAACAGAAAGGGATTTTATTACAGCCTGTCTTTTTTTTTTTCAGAGTTATCTGATTGCGATGTAATGCTGTCAAAAAATCCCATTTATGTGTTTTTTCATCTCCCATATGATGTCTGGATAAGTCATCTCTGTCCTACAAATAAAAAAGAAGTTTTCCTTATATACTACTTACTTCACACTCTTTCTATACATAAGTGTTTGACTATGCCCTGAGAATGTTCGGAAGGTTAAGTTCTAAGACCTTATTCTCATCCTTCTCCTTAACTTGTAACTGAAATCCATAATCACCCTACCTTCTAATTTGCTTACATAAACAAAGGTATTTATTATTTCCTGGACTGATACTACATAGTTCTCTGGAACTATAATGTAATTTTTTTTCTGTTTCCATATTACCAACCAAAGTTACACACTTTAAGATGCTGGGTACTTACATCTAATAGGCTCAGATCTAAGAATCAGTTTCCTGCTCGGCTTAGGCAGGCAAGTCTCTGAGACTTTTAGCTCCAGTTATCCACCAGAGAGCCAGGAGTAGAACTTGGCTAGTGGTAGAGCCCTAACCCTTGAGCAAATAAACTGAAAAACAGTATTAAAAAAAAGCCAACCTTAGGAATAGTGCCTAGTCCCTGAGTATAAGCCTCAGGATTGTCATGCCCCACCCGTCCCCCAACAGAGTAATATTATAAAACAAAATAGGTTACATTAGCAGTATAAAAATACTCATCATAGGAAATAATCTACACAAGTCCATCAGTCAAGAAGTATGACACTGATAGCCATTTTGATAAGGTTGATAAAGAATGCTCTAGGGCTTTAAACAAGCTATAAAAAGGTTAAAAGCTGTGTGTAATACACAGTTTGCCTAGGGATGATCCCAGTTACCTGACTTTGAACTACTAGACTTTTACGGGACCGAAAACTAAGTGCTAAAATTAACTGAATGTTCACAAAACACTTAATCTAAATTATTTTATTTTCTTAACCCCATGAAATAATTATTTCCACTTTAAAGGTGAAGAAATTAGAGCTCAGAGAGATTAAGTAATTTAACAGAGACCACAAAGCATGAAAATAGACAACCTAAGATTGTAACCTAAGCTATCAATTCCTATGTAAGTGATTTGCCCACTAACAGGCAAACAAACAAGTCAACCATATGGTCTTAGGCCCTTTGACTCATCACCAAAGGTGTTGGGGAAGCACAAGGGGCTTGTAGAGCAGTGAGCATTAATATGCACCCTCAGCCAGCAAATAGGCCTTAGCATTTGTTTGGCTCTTCATCTACTTTATGCATAGGAAGTGCACTGTGTGATTCCCTACATGTAGCCTTTATAATGATATCCTATTCTCTTTTAATTTCTAGATTTAACCTAGAGAATAAATCTTGCATTCATCTGCTGCTAAGACAGAGGTTAAAACTTTTCCCTCCTAAAGTTTTAGTGCAGTAAGTACTGACAGTGTTATTATTAAGATTTTTTTTTTGTGGTCGGTTGGTTGCTTGTTTTTTGTTTTTTTGATTTTTGTTGTTGTTGTTTTTTTTTTTTTTGAAAAGTGGCTTTTGGCATGGCAGGCAAAAGCAGTCTGGAGGCTTTGTGTGACTGCTGTTCACACTTGGTAATGAGTAAATTCTGTTGGCTTTTTTGGAGGAGTCAGAAGAAGTCATGGTTTACTAGAGATGTGGCCTAAAAACACCAAGCCAGCTCATCAGTGCTGCTGATCTCGTGCCCTTCCTCTGGCAAACCATGTGTCGGATGTGGTAAGAAAAAGAATCTCCCTTTCAGCAGCAGAATGTGTTCAAGCTACACCCTGAATTATCCCATGATGACCTTGCAAATGCAACACATGCCCTTGTGACCACAAGGACCGACAACTGTAATTTCCTCTGCTTTTCATCAGAGCTCTTCTGCTGCGGGCAGCAGGCATCTCATGCTAGGGTACAGCTGCTCCTTGACACCTCAGACACCTGCCCTTCATCCTTTAATACACAATATTTAAAAGACCGTCCAATAGGAAGCTTGCCCCACTGATTATGCAAACACTGAGCTCATCTTCCTAAGTGAACTGTGAAGCCTGGCTAACATGTACTATGCAGCCAGTGGACATTTTGAGGGTATTACCTAATGTTGAAGTCATTCCAAAAATCATTGTTAGGCAATTTCTTAAAGCAATCCATGGGTTGAAGGAGGCATTTCCTTGGTAATATCATTGATGACAATTTATGCAATACATACACACTTAGCACTTGCTAGACTAAGGTACTGTCGACAAAAACCTGACAAGGCTATACTTGACGGCTCACACTGTAATCACAGATGCTCAGGAGGTTGAGATCAGAAGGACCATAGTTCAAGGCCAGCCTGGACAAAGGTTGAACCAGGACTTGAACTCAGGGCTTCATGCTTTATTGATCATGGTTGATGCTCTACCACTTGACCCATGCCTCCAGCATTTTGCTATTGAATTGGAGATGGAGTCTTACAGACATTTCTACCTAGGCCGAATTTGAACCATAGATCCTCTATGTCTCAATCTATTAAGTATTTAGGATTACAATTGTGAGCCACCTAGGCCCAGCTTGGTGTGCACTTGTGATTTCAGGTGGGAGGCATAAATAGGAGGATTTTGATCCCCAAAAGTGAGACCTTTCCGGGAAAATAAACTAAAGCAAAAAGAATGTGAGTGAAGTGATAGGTGATAGAGTGCCTGCCTAGTAAGTTCAAAGCCCTGAGTTCCAACCCTAGTATACACGTGCACGTGTGCGCACGCACACGCACACACACACACACACAACTTGACTAAGGTAGAACAGGCCGCTTCTTTTCCTGGACGTGGTATCTAGTGCGGAAGATAGAGTTGAATGAGTTAACAAATGGTAATGAATGCTGTAATGGTAATAAAATAGGGCATGATCTATACTGACCAGGATGACTTGTAGGTGTCAGATAACTGTGGAGTAAAACATTGTTCAGTCATGTGTTTAATGATGGGATATGTTCTGAGAAATGTGCAGACACCTGTCATTCCAGATGATGTCAGATTTACCATCTAGAAAGTACTCTGTTGGGTGATACTCGAGCCTTAAGTGCATAATGCGAACCCACGGTGATTTTCATTCTTCTATGGTATACCTGGAGGCCAGATTTCCAGTTACTGATAGTTCTGATACCATGTTCTGCAGTTTGGTCACCACCTTCATTTATTTGTTACTGGTTTCATTCTAAAAGTATTTCCTAACCATTCCAATGAGGATGTCTGCTTAAAGGCTTTTATATTTGCTTATCATTCTGTTTGTGTTGCACTCAGAGTAAGAGATGGACATGCAGGACTAGATATTACCCGAAGTGGCTTGACATTTAAAATAAATAACCCCAAACCCAGTTAAGTATTTGCTAACCACATGTTTTCTAAACCTTATCCAAAAAAGCTCACTTGAACTACCAGGACATCACTGGCCTTTACTCTGACTCTCTGAATGGCCCTCTGGAAGCTTCTCCCATGTGCCTTCATCTTCCCAGAGCTAATGGGTATCCCCTCCAAGGAATGCTGTGTGGCCTCATCAGCAAAAAGGCAACATACCTGTGGTTTGGTAGAGAGTGAACTGGGCCAGGAATCTGGAGAGCCAGCCTTTATTCCCATCACTGCCAGTCACTCTGGATCTTGAGCTAATCAAATCCTCTCTGTGCTTTAATTTATACCCATGTAAAATGGAAAACATAATACTGTAACAGTGCACTGAACACGCGCAGCCAAATAAGATGGGAACAAAATGTTTACCGTATTTGAGTTGCTTCAAGCTCATAGACATGACCTGGAAACTTCTGGTAACAGACACTAGCAACTCTTAAGGCAGTCTATCATCAGATAGGCTAGATAGAATTTAAATCTTGGGTTATTTTGGGTATTAACATTTAGATCTCTTCCTTTGGAGGGCTGTGATGAAAAGAATACTAAGAAAGAGCTAATCAATGGCTAGAATGCATGAACATTCCATGCCCATGGCAGGTGAATATATGGTATCATAAAACTATCTCACATCTGTAATAATATTAAAAGCATGTCAGTCTGATGTTGCTTAGCTGCAACTAGCTTGATCCCAGAATGAAAGATTATGTTTCAAAAAAGTTTACCAGGTCCCAACTTCAGAGACAGGTATGATGGTGCAGGCAGGAGAATCTACATTTCCAGGTTAGTCTGGGCTTCACAGAAAGATCTTAGTTTTAAAAGTTAAAAAAGAAATCCTAACTAAAATGAGTCATTCTCCTCACTAAGCGTCAATTAAAATGTGGTTGTATACTGTATGTTAGGAAGTTAAGCATTGTGGGTGGGGTAGGAGAGGTACCATCAACAAAACCCAAATAAAGACTTTCTGTAACAGATCAAGGAAATGAGACTGTTCTTGTGATTAGAGGAAAGGGTAGCAAGTGGTACTTTGAGTGGGCCCAAAAGAATCTAAGAGGTAGAGAAGCTGATTCCAGGTAGAGGAAAATGAAAGTACAGAAAAGGGGCAGGAAGCAAGAAATATTTGTTGATGGAAACATAAGTTGTTCATGGTTAGATCAATTGGGTATAAACCTGGCTGCACTACAGAATTAACTGGGGAGGTTTAATAAAAACAGGTTTCCAGGCTTCTTCCCAGACTTTATGAATGAGAATTTTTTTCAGATGTGATCTAGATTATGTTGCTTTATGTATAATTTTAATTCTTTAACTCTAATGTGAAAACAGGCTTTAGTTCATTGGAGTAGGATTTGCCAAACCCTGAAAAACCATGCCACATTTGGCCAGACTGTCTAATCATGTTTTCTAAACTTAAGTTTTGAAAATCAGTTCAGTGAATCCTCTCCCATATATATTTGTTTTTATTTTGAAATATCACAATGCAGTTGTTGGCTAGGAGTGTTTCTCCATGATTGAGCACTGACTAAGCAGGCACAAGCCTTGGACTCTATTATTATTATTATTGCCTTAAAAAGTAATAATAACAATAACAATACAATTGTATATAGTAAGGGAAACTTTTTATGAACAACTTGTTTCTCTTTGAATGTGTTTGCTTATGTATTTATTTTTGTTCTGGACCACAGTATAAATTTTTATTTTTTACTGACTTTTTGAAGTTTTTAAATAACAGG